TAAAACCCGATTGGGATGATTTTGAATAAAGAAACGTTGTGGCGGTCGGAAATGCGGTGAAATGGCGTCGGCGACAACAGTTTTAGACGAAGTGATAAACGTAAAACCTGTCAAGAGATTGGAAAAATGAAAATACGTTTGGATTGTTCGGATATTTGATTCGGAAGCGACGCCAGTGAGATTCGAACCTATAATATTACTAAGTAGATGTATTTTTTGATATTATTGCAATTAAAGTAATTTATTTTACTATACCTAAGGCATTAGTACTATACTGCAGTATAAGTTAATTTCATTTTCACAGAAAAAAATATTATTTGAAAGTATCATTGACCATTGTGCGTGCAAAATATATATTAATATACCTGTTCTAAAAGTTCCAAATACCCACTAATTTATATATTTTTTTAATTACAACAAAATAACTTTTTCTTTTTTAAATTTTTATTAAAGAACATACAAWCTATACAAAAAGGCATAATAAGRATATGTTCTACAATATTTAGAAAAACATGAATAGGGTGAGGGAAGAAACCATSCAGTGATCGCWCTTCCTAACWAAATAACTAAAATTTATATGTTCATCCAAATTCAAACTTTAGCCTTTAGGTATAAAAAAAACTCTGTTTATAATTATTCTRTTAGATGTTTTGGTTACAGAATGAACTATACATTAGTAATTTGATTCCATGTGTAGTATGAGTGACAAGTATAATAATAATATGTGAGTCTTTGAAATATGTATATAGTATATTACATTATTAGGAAAATATAAAACATCGTGGCTTGCAAAACTATTAATTTATCATAATCATATTATAATCTAAACATAGTAAAAATCCATATTATCGGTATTTTTATATCAGTACCTACCTCTCTTACTTTGATGTATACTTTTACGACAATTAGAATTTCATAACAATAACATATCAATTAAGAGTAGATTTCGGCTTCCTCAATTACCGAACTTATAATAGCATGTTTGTAATGGCAGTAATTAATAAACAATATTATATTGTATTGAAGTAGATATTATATATTCATATATTTATTGTAGTTGTCGAAAYTAATGGTTCTCATCAAGTTTCTTAAATAACAAAAAATAAATATTTGATTGATTATATTCTGTAGAGTTGATATTGTAAATTATCGTTTCTTTTACTGTTTGATCGTGTGTAGGTACTTCGTTATTACTTACCGTCTGAGTGCGACCACTGCGAACGCATCAATTATAAATACATTTATATATTACTGTTGTTTAGTTACACCGGATGAGACGCGCATCCTGTGTCCTGCGTCCTATATAATACTATTATTTATAAAATGTACAGTAATAACTAATAGTATACATAATATACAGGTTGATTTATTAATTAACTAGTTAGCAGTGTGTTACTAAGAATGCTCATTCCTGTTTTTACTTAGAATACTTAGATTATGAACATGTTCAGATTCCGATTTTTGAGATTTTTAATTATTCTAAAAAACCTTAATATATTTTCAAATACTAATATGGTTATATTTTTTAATTGTATACAAGGATAGTGTCCTTTAACTATATAGAATTCTGTTTTAAAAGAGAATCACCTTTTTTGCAATACCTACATTATTAATCAGATGATTTAAAAAATTATATGTAATAATGATATTCTAAAAATTTAATAATAATATGATATTAGTACCTATGTTAACATTGACAAAAATGATCTTTGCATAATAACATTATACTAGACTAAATATTATATCTATACCYATTMATTTATGTTAATTGATGTAAAATCATAATGTTRAGTATTATAATCAATTATCATTATATTACATGAAGCATAATCTCTCTAACATTATTTATTTTAATTTTGATTAAGGTGCATCAATATTTAAAAAAAAAA